GCGATCACCCCCTCTTCCCGTCCCGCGATAGCCACGCCGCCGGCTCCCCTCTCTCCTCCCCACCGCCGCTCCGTTGCTGTACGTACGCCACGGCTTTGCCCCCACCACGCCTCGTTAACGGGTAAAAATAACGACGGCAGTGTGACCACGCGCCTGGTGACGGTTTCTTTTATTATTATTTTACTTTTTTTTTTCCTTTTTTTTTTTCTCTCCTTATTTTTCGCTCGTGTTCCGATATGTCGTACGCACGACCCCGCGCGTCCGTACGCCCGGACACGATGGACACGATCACGTCGTGCCCGAGTATATTTACTTATCCTACATGTTCGTGCCGTGCCGTACGGTGCGTGCGTCGTCGCGTCTCCGTAGGTATTCGACTACGGATTCTACCGGTGGCGCCGAAGTTCGTTTCAGGGTTCTGGGCCAAAACGTTAAATTAACCCCCCCCCCCCCCGAAAACCCGTATTGTAACTGCAGCGAACATTATAGGGGACGATTGCAATTCGAAAACGTGCAGATCAACTACAACCCCGTACAAACACGGGTTTCGGCGCCCTTGCGCACGTAGACTACCTACATTTTTGTTTCATATACGAACAACATCTCACTTCTCAGTTTGTGGAATTGCAGCGATGGCAAACGAGGTGCGGGTCCATCGCGGTGGGATTCTTTCTTCAGATCATCCATCATGATTCATGGATTGTGTATTAGTTATTATATTTTCCTAATGTAGTGCCACCTGCATACTGTCACGACTAACGAACAGTCGCGGATACCGGAGGGGAGTTATGGAGACTGGAGCCCCCCACCCCTTAGGTATTAGGTAGAACCATATCGAACGCAGATAATTAAACTATTTAAAATTAGACGTAAGAAAGACTTCGTATACATTGCCATGCGCAACGAATTATGGCAGTAACTCACTTTACTGCCGCCCCCCTCTTTTTATTTCTAGATCCGCGTCTGACAATGTGTACAATACATGATAAAGTCTGAAAGTCGTAGGTATGATTGCACACCGGGTATATGGCAGAGATCTAGTGGGGGGACAGCTGTCACACAATCAATATTGGTCGACAAAATTGGCCTATTGAAGATTTCTTATATTTTTTTTTTATTTGTACCGACTATATGTTGAAGTTAATACTAGACTGGAACAAATTCCCCAAATTTCAACCACTCCTCAAATGACGTCACTGATTTAATTCTTTAGTTCAGTAAGACATATCTATGCCAGAACCTATGTAAAACGGAATTCTCCATAAAATAAAATAAATGTTAAATTTTTAAATGATAGTTATGTATAAACTTATAAACACATATTATAGGATATACTGTGTTTTTTTGTAACAAATTATAGTTTTATAATCCAATTTTATCCCTAATAAGTGGCCTTTTGAAATAGTTTAACCCACAGTTCTCTGTATATCCACCTCAGCTCAGGTATATGGTTGGTAACTAATAAGACACTAAAGCCTTTTTCACATCTTAGGTAAATCGTCAGCAAATCCGGCGTTATAAGGGGGGGGGACAGTCCCTATTTTTCATAAAAATTCGTACTACACATTTTTTAATGTAAATTATATAATACAGAGCCTCCCTCTATCCTCTTACATATGATTCTTACTACAATGTCAATAATAATTTTCAAAAAATAGTTTTTTTTTTATTAATCATATTGCCCATTATAATTAGGTAACTACTTGTCTGTTGTTATTTTTTAAATTGAAAATATTCTTCGGTCTGTTATAAATCTGAAAATAATTAACAAACTATTTATTTTAATGAGGTATATATAATTTAAAATGTAATTAATGTATTTAAGTTCATCAACTGTCTTAATTAAACTAGCCTCCTGAAAAACTTATACTCGTATTAATGGGTTTTTAAGTAACATTTTTTCTTTTGCTATAAGTAGTGACTTTGTTTCGCAAATTTTGATAAATCACTAAGCCCACAGTTACGTTGACAGGTCACATAGTAGACTGAAAAATTAAAACTGAACGACGTCCAAAATCTTCACCAAGTATAGCCTATACATACACGAGAGGGAAAGTAGAATCGACATATTTCAAAACCAACCACCTAGGGCAGCAAAATCTTAAATACTTCTGATGCGTTGTGCCAAAGTTTACTAAATTATAGTTTTCTCACTCTTATAGATACATACCTGTTGAAAAATCAACTATATTTTTTTTCAGTCTATCACGATAACATGATGAAGGTATGTGTATAATTATTGTGAACTGAGTACTTATCGCGTTTATCGTTTTATTTTATCATTCTACCAAGAGAATCTTAAAGAATAGGTACATATTTCATCGTATTGTGAGATTTAAAATAATCAAAAATAAAATTCAGACAATCCATTATCGACTCCTACAATTACTGCTGATTTACAATACCTATCTGAAATTTAAAAAGTATTGTCCTTTGGAGAAAATGCCGAAGAAATGTTTGATTATGTCAACAAAATCAAAAATTTTTTTGTTAAACACTTATTACCAAAATCTTAAGTAAGCAAAAATAGATAATTGTTTTTAATATATAATAAAATAGAAAAAATAATAACAATAAAAATACATAATGATAAATGTATGTATTTCTTTTTTAATTAAATCCAATAGCAAAAAATATGTGCAATTATAATTTACTGATGTTTTATCGGTTACATTATGTTCAATAATAAAAAAATAAACTCAAAATTTAATAGCTTTATTTTTTTTTCCCCCGTATAAAACGCTTTCTTGCTTAAAACGTAATTAATTACGTATTAATTAATACTGTAATTCGTGGTATATTTATATAATATTTTTGGTAGGATTACTTCTATCACTACCCCCCCCCCCCTTAAATTACGTGCCTGTAACATAGTGTACTAAACTTTATACATGGAAGCAAAAAGCACACAAAACTGTAATACAAACCAATTTAATACATAATCTATTTGTCTCATAAAAGTATTTGTATATACTTAAGAATAATTTGATATATTTTTACGAAAGAAGGTCATTTCAATTGTTTATGTTTATCATTGTGTACCTATCTAATATTAATGGTCCTTTGAAATAAAATATTTTGGTTTGTTGGTATTCATATGATTATTATTATTCTAGTATTAAAGTAATTAATCATTACCATTAACAGAACCATTCACGCCGTTATAATGTTGTACGAAAATAAGAAACAATTGTGATTTGTGACTTGTGCGTAGGAATACAAGACACTATAAAGTAGTCTTAAGCCAGAGTTTAAATTTTAATGGAATAAGAGTGATAGATGTGTAAATACCTAAATAAAACATGGCCGAAATCTGGGTTGCTAAAATTTGTTTCAGTTTTTTAACTTGGTAAATGGACATGCACATATTTTAATTATAAACTATCGTTGATTTAATACATCACCTAATTCCTGTTACACTATATTTTAATCTCATTATCCTCAATAATTGTCAAGACTAATTTATTATAAAAAAAAAATATATTTATCATTCAAGTGTAAATTTTTGGTGTTATGAATAGTAATAAAATATAAATTATTGACTTTTTTATTATAAGGTGTTTTTTTTTTATTGATACAGTAAACTTTAAATTTTCAATGATAATGTCACAAGTAAATGTCATGTTTTGCTTGATAATTAAAAATATTATTAAACTTGTACTCTTTCCATAAAAATTTTTTGGTTTCATTTTTACGATATTTAATTTTTTTGAAACACTCTTTAAGTGTCCTTTATAAAAATCACTGCTATTGTTTTTATGATTTGTAAAAGCTAATTAAAAATATGTATTTTTCAATTAATAACAACTAATCAAATTCAATTAGCATGTATGCCAAATATAATAAATTTATTTTTGGTGTTTATTATCCTTCATATTACGTTTTACAACAGCAATTTCAGTTTCTATATTTTTTTGAATAACTCAACTACTGAACAGCATAAAATAATTTCTTAAAATAAACTCGAAACCTTGATATCAAATTCAAGGCTCACAAAATGAATGACTACTTATTTAAATATTTAATCCTATAGAAATCTTTTATTAATAAGAATGTACTGATGAAAATAATATAGTCAAAATAATTACAAGATCGAAATATACATTTGTATTTTAATTTAATTTTTTTGTGTTTGATACTTTGAACACGAATTCGAGTTTGAAACGATCTCTCCTCACCCGTATACGGCTTTCGATCGATTTTTATTTTTAAATATTTATGCTTTTTTTGGTGGATTTACTTCGTGGCGTTCCTTCCTTCTCTTCCCTGAACCTTTGTCAGAGACTTATTTAAAAAATATAAGGTCAGATTTTATGCTGTAATAATACTGTTTTTTCTATTTCTTGTGAAAATTCTGAAACTTTTTATGTTCTAAACATTTTAGTATTATACTTTCATAATTATTTTTGTTCATTATAATGCTATAATATTATAATATTCAATATTGTGTTTATAATTATTTATCAATATCATTGATCACCCGGCACTTCCAAAATCTGTTCATAAATATTGTACATATGTCATATCATTGATTATATATTACTATTAATATATAATCAATGATCATATGTATGAGCTGTCGTTTTACCAAAAAATTCACTCATTTTACACTTGTGAGTACGTCTGAATCTGATATTAAATTGCTTAATTTAATATGAATTATAGTGTTTACATGATTTAATCTTGAAATTTTTACTTACTAGGCTAGGTCGAATGTCAAGTGAAATTTTTTACTATCTATAATTAAATCAAGTACAGTTTTTTTTTTAGGTTAAATTTGTTATATATATCTTGGTACATATTACCATTGATCATTAATACTATTTATAAACAATGATATTACTTAAATAAACATTCAATGGTAAATAAATTATAACACCACCAGGTAATCAAGGTTTTACCGGTTACACGAAGCTTACAAAGTTTTCCTATGAAGTCTATTAACATAATACGT